CACCCCCCCAAAGTCAATACTTTATAGAGCCACCTTTTGCAGCAATTACAGCTGCAAGTCTCTTGGGGAATGTCTCTATAAGCTTGGCACATCTAGCCACTGGGATTTTTGCCCCATTCTTCAAGGCAAAACTGCTCCAGCTCCTTCAAGTTGGATGGGTTTCGCTGGTGTACAGACATTTTTAAGTCATACCACAGATTCTCAATTGGATTGAGGTCTGGGCTTTGACTAGGCCATTCCAAGACATTTAAATGTTTCCCCTTAAACCACTTTGCGCCAGACATAGCGTTTTCCTTGATGGTCAAAAAGCTCAATTTTAGTCTCATCTGACCAGAGTACCTTCTTCCATATGTTTGGGGAGTCTCCCACATGCCTTTTGGTGAACAACAAACATGTTTGCTTATTTTTTTCTTTAAGCGATGGCTTTTTCCTGACCACTCTTCCGTGAAGCCCAGCTCTGTGGAGTGTACGGCTTAAAGTTGTCCTGTGGACAGATACTCCAATCTCCGCTGTGGAACTTTGCAGCTCCTTCAGGGTTATCTTTGGTCTCTTTGTTGCCTCTCTGATTAATAATACAATAATATGCCATTTAGCTTACAGTCATGCGTGCATCAATTTTTTATTTTTTTTTGTATGGGTGGTCCCGGGGATCGAACCCACTACCTTGGCGTTACAAGCGCCGTGCTCTACCAGCTGAGCTACAGAGGACCACACGGACAGGCCCTCCTTGCCTGGTCCGTGAGTTTTGGTGGGCGGCCCTCTCTTGGCAGATTTGTTGTGGTGCCATAATCTTTCCATTTTTTAATAATTGATTTAATGGTGCTCCGTGGGATGTTAAAGTTTCAGATATTTTTTAACAACCCAACCCTGATCTGTACTTCTCCACAACTTTGTCCCTGACCTGTTTGGAGAACTCCTTGGTCTTCATGGTGCTGCTTGCTTGGTGGTGCCCCTTGCTTAGTGGTGTTGCAGACTCTGGGGCCTTTCAGAACAGGTGTATATATACATGTGACAGATCATGTGACACTTAGATTGCACACAGGTGGACTTTATTTAACTAATTATGTGACTTATGAAGGTAATTGGTTGCATCAGATCTTATTTAGGGGCTTCATAGCAAAGGGGGTGAATACATATGCACACACCACTTTTCCGTTATGTATTTTTTATAATTTTTTGAAACTAGTTATTTTTTTCATTTCACTTCACCAATTTGAACTATTTTTGTATGACCATTACATGAAATCCAAATAAAAATCCATTTAAATTACAGGTTGTAATGCAACAAAATAGGAAAAATGCCAAGGGGGATGAATACTTTAGTCACCTTCATTCTCGTGTTCTTCTTATTTCAAATTTTTTTTCTCATGTGTTTTTGTCCTACCTTGTTATTTTTAGTACTACGTTGAAAAATATGGATTTTGACCAAAACAACTCTCCCAAGACTTCACACTCTTATCAAAAAAAGGTTTTGGTGGAGGGGAAGGGTTCCCTTGACTTTGATTATTGCATTGTTGGGTATAGAGCTTGCAAGAAGCTTGTAAGAAAGGCTGTTCACTGTACTTGCAAGAAAGGCTGTTGTGGTCCTCTGTAGCTCAGCTGGTAGAGCACGGTGCTTGTAACGCCAAGGTAGTGGGTTCGATCCCCGGGACCACCCATGCACAAAAAAAATAATCATAATGTATGCACGCATGACTGTAAGTCGCTTTGGATAAAAGCGTCTGCTAAATGGCGTATTATACTTGTGCAAGTGATATTAAAACAAATTTGACGGTCACTTGTTTAAATTTTTTAACCCTTATTTTACCAGGTAAATTGACTGAGAACACATTCTCATCTACAGCAACTACATGGGGAATAGTTACAGGGGAGAGGAGGGGGATGAATGAGCCAATTGGAAGCTGGGGATGATTAGGTGGCATGAAGACCAGATTGGAAATTTAGCCAGGACACCAGGGTTAACACCCCTACTCTTATGATAAGTGCAAAGGGATCTTTAGTGACCACAGAGAGTCAGGACACCCGTTTAACGTCCAATCCGAAAGACAGCAGGGCAATATCACCAATCACTGCCCTGGGACATTTTATTTTAGACCAGAGGAAAAAGTGCCTCCTACTGGCCCTCCAACACCACTTCCAGGAGCATCTGGTCTCCCATCCAGGGACCGACCAGGACCAACCCTGCTCAGCTTCAGAGTTAAACCAGCAGTGGGATGCAGGGTGGTATGCTGATGGCCAAACATGGGGACTTCAAAATGCCACGTCAAGGGAACTGTAGCCTACTGTTCAGATGGGTCAAATGGAAACTAGGCCTATAGCCTCACACACACCCAAATATGATATGAACTCCTGCAGAATGAAGCATTTCTTGCAGTAAAATTATAGACCAAATGTAAATTTTGACTCAGGAACAGGAATGGAGAAATATGATTTCTTTCTTTCAGCATCTTGAGAGAATGGATGTGCGGTTAGGGACCGTCTGTATAGGGGCTATCTTTATCAGCATCATAAAAGCTGATAGTATTTCAGCCACATAAAATATGCATCCAAGCCGATCTTAAATCGTATCAAAACCATGTTGGGTCATTTTAATAGCTTTTCATTTCCTTAAAACCGGTCAAACTGATGTCATTTGGAAGTTTTGCCAGGAAAATCATTTATTGCATTTTCTCCCGGTCTTTGGTGCGCAAGAGATGAAAGAATGACAAGAAAACAAACTTTACCGATGTCAACTAGATAGAAGCATTCATTCTATCGATGTATGACATCGTTCTGGTGACCAAGGGTTTATTTAGTCTTCTAAGGCAACAAGTAATGACAGAAGAGATGCTGCGTGTCTCTAGTTATAGACGAACAAATAGCCAACCAAAATGTTCGGAAACCAGAAGCAGAAACATAGGCATATCTAAAAAGGCCTGTCAAAAAAAAAAGTGTTCTGTCATCTCTGACTGTACAGCGCATTTTCTATGTTTGTGGGTTAGGGTCATTTGCGGGTCTCAGATTTTTCACTATCTCTTGTAGTCAGACGGTTGTGGATGGGTTATTAGCAACTGCGGGTGGGTGAAGGTGAACAGAAAGCTGGCCCGCGCAGCGTGTGTGTCTGCTTTTACATTAGAACAGTGGCATTTACAAGACTCATTAAAATACCCTTTAGAACAAATCAATTTTGTTGCCTAGAGAGTGTCACCATAGAGAGTTTCACCATAGAGAGTGTCACCATAGAGAGTGTTACCATAGAGAGTGTCACCATAGAGAGTGTCACCATAGAGAGTTTCACCATAGAGAGTGTCACCATAGAGAGTGTTACCATAGAGAGTGTCACCATAGAGAGTGTCATCATAGAGAGTGTCACCATAGAGAGTGTCACCATAGAGAGTGTCACCATAGAGAGTGTCACCATAGAGAGTGTCACCATAGAGAGTGTCATCATAGAGAGTGTCACCATAGAGAGTGTCACCATAGAGAGTGTCACCATAGAGAGTGTCACCATAGAGAGTGTCATCATAGAGAGTGTCACCATAGAGAGTGTCACCATAGAGAGTGTCACCATAGAGAGTGTCACCATAGAGAGTGTCACCATAGAGAGTGTCATCATATAGTGTCACTATAAAGAGTGATCTTTGGTCTCTTTGTTGCCTCTCTGATTAATGCCCTCCTTGCCTGGTCCGTGAGTTTTGGTGGGCGGTCCTCTCTTGGCAGGTTTGTTGTGGTGCCATATTCTTTCAATGTTTTAATAATTGATTTAATGGTGCTCCGTGGGATGTTCAAAGTTTCTGATTTTTTTTTACAACCCAACCCTGATCTGTACTTCTCCACAACTTTGTCCCTGACCTGTTTGGAGAACTCCTTGGTCTTCATGGTGCTGCTTGCTTGGTGGTGTCCCTTGCTTAGTGGTGTTGCAGACTCTGGGGCCTTTCAGAACAGGTGTATATATACATGTGACAGATCATGTGACACTTAGATTGCACACAGGTGGACTTTATTTAACTAATTATGTGACTTATGAAGGTAATTGGTTGCACCAGATCTTATTTAGGGGCTTCATAGCAAAGGGGGTGAATACATATGCACGCATCACTTTTCCGTTATTAATTATTTTTATTTTTTTTGAAACAAGTAATTCTTTTCATTTCACTTCACCAATTCGGACTATTTTGTGTTTGTCCATTACATGAAATCCAAATAAAAATCAATTTAAATTACAGGTTGTAATGCAACTTAATAGGAAAAACGCCAAGGGGGATGAATACTTTTGCAAGGCACTGTAGGTCTAAAAAGCCTATTACCAGCTTCTACCCCCAAGCCATATGACTCCTGAACAGCCAATCAAATGGCCAGCCGGACTATTTGAACGTTTCCTTTTAGAGGGGTGGAGACTTGGCTAGTGTGAAACTGTCTGAAAGTTTCCTTTTAGAAGACTGAAGACTTGGCTAGTCTTGTTAGGACAGTTTCGAACACGTTTCCCCCCAGAACTTTTTAATTGATCATCTGAAGCAATTGCACAAAATTTTAGGTCTGGGTGTCCGAGATTAATCTTAAGGCTGTCACGAGAGACGTAACACTAGTAAAGCTGTGTAGAGTAATTCCAATCCTATATAACAGAGTAACTATCTGATTTTGAATGCAAAACAGGGCACTTGCATTCACCTGCATGTGGAGGAGATTTCACAATGTGGAGAGATGTGCTGTTGAGATCTGTGTTAGATTGTCCGATGTTCCCTGTAATGTTGATGGTTATGTTCTGTTCTCATCTCCATAATGAGCTTTGCATGAAGGAGGTGGAAACGTTCGGATGGAGAGAGTGAGTGGGAAGAATGGATGAATGGATGGAGGGTGGGATGTGATATGAGAACCAGAGAAATGCAGAGAGAGAGAGAGAGAGAGAGAGAGAGAGAGAGAGAGAGAGAGAGAGAGAGAGAGAGAGTGAGAGACAGAGAGAGAGAGAGAGAGAGAGAGAGAGAGAGAGAAGAGAGAGAGAGAGAGGTGACAGAAAGGGAGAGATGGAGGAGGAGATGTGGAGAACGGAGGAAAATAAGTCAGTTTTCTTTCAGTCGGTAGATTAGAAGGTTATTCTGAGTTTGTCTTTTGTTGTGGAGCTGGAATGCCTGACCATGTCCAGTCAGCCATCCTGCCGAATGTGTCATAGGACAGTTTGAATTGGCTTTTTCACTCCCCTAGTCCCCAGGTGACAGTCAGCCAGACCCCAGGTGACAGACAGTCAGCCAGACCCCAGGTGATGTATAGTCAGACCCCAGGTGACAGACAGTCAGCCAGACCCCAGCTGACAGTCAGCCAGACCCCAGGTGACAATCAGCCAGACCCCAGGTGACAATCAGACAGACCCCAGGTGATATATAGTCAGACAGACCCCAGGTGATATATAGTCAGACCCCAGGTGACAGTCAGCCAGACCCCAGGTGACAATCAGACAGACCCCAGGTGATATATAGTCAGACAGACCCCAGGTGATATATAGTCAGACCCCAGGTGACAGTCAGCCAGACCCCAGGTGACAATCAGACAGACCCCATGTGATATATAGTCAGCCAGACCCCAGGTGACAATCAGTCAGTCAGACCCCAGGTGACATATAGTCAGACAGACCCCAGGAGACAATCAGACAGACCCCAGGTGATATATAGTCAGACAGACCCCAGGTGACAATCAGACAGACCCCAGGTGACAGACAGTCAGCCAGACCCAGGTGACAATCAGCCAGACCCAGGTGACATATAGTCAGACAGACCCCAGGTGACAGTCAGTCAGCCAGACCCCAGGTGACAGTCAGTCAGCCAGACCCCAGGTGACAGTCAGTCAGCCAGACCCCAGGTGACAGTCAGTCAGCCAGACCCCAGGTGACAGTCAGTCAGCTAGACCCCAGGTGCAGTCAGACAGAACCCAGGTGCAGTCAGTCAGCCAGACCCAGGTGACAGACAGTCAGCCAGACCCAGGTGACAGTCAGTCAGCCAGACCCAGGTGACAGTCAGTCAGCTAGACCCCAGGTCCAGTCAGTCAGACCACAGGTGACAGTCAGTCAGCCAGACCCCAGGTGCAGTCAGTCAGCTAGACCCCAGGTGACAGACAGTCAGCCAGACCCAGGTGACAGTCAGTCAGCCAGACCCCAGGTGACAGTCAGTCAGCCAGACCCCAGGTGACAGTCAGTCAGCTAGACCCCAGGTGACAGACAGTCAGCCAGACCCAGGTGACAGTCAGTCAGCCAGACCCCAGGTGACAGTCAGTCAGCTAGACCCCAGGTGACAGTCAGTCAGCCAGACCCCAGGTGACAGTCAGTCAGCTAGACCCCAGGTGACACTCAGAGTTGGAGAGGCACAGTTATGTGTGGGTTATATCGTGAGTGTTTTTAAAAATGCAAGAGTTGTGCCATGCTTTACTAGAGTAGAATCTGCCTGGGTCTCAAAAGTGGTCCATGGCCACGTCTAGGTCCTAGTTAGCTTTAACAGTTAATTGTATTTAGCAGACGCTCTTATCCAGGGCAATTAGGGTTTAGTACCTTGCTCAAGGGCACATCAACAGATTTTTCACCTAGTCGGCTCGGGGATTAGAACGAGCAACCTCTCGGTTACTGGCACAACGCTCTTAACCACTAAGCTACCTGCCCCCCAGTTAAAGTCTGATACTCAGTTGAAGTCTGAACAGAGTGTCGGCAGTCAATCTCTTTTGTGTTCACACAGCAAAGACCTTGGATGTCGTCAGCCACTCAGCCTTGTTAAAATACTCCAAACCAGAAGGTGGCAGTAGCGTTGATTGGCAATGCATATCTGTGTGTCTTGCTTATGGTCTAGATTCCAAGCTATCTGCACTAATGTTGCTATTTTGTAGAAAGCCGTGGTTGATACTAGCCAGATGGCCACATTTAGATTACTACCTAGCAAGATGATAAAAAAACAAAAATAATTCATTCACTCTACAAAATCCCATACTGCCAGTGCCAGACCCAACCCATAGCCAAATGTTGTGATAGCTAGCTAAAGTTAGCATATTCGCTAGCTAGCACAACAGAGCTAGCTAGCTAAGGACACTGCACAAACTCGGCAGCTATTACAGGTAGCTGTTTCATGGAAACTAGCTAATCCATTGTGATTTAATTATAATGTCAGTACTAGCTACAGTGGTTATCTATCTTGGAGGAGGTATTTAGTGTTGTGTGCATTGTGTCTGTGCACTTAGCTATCGACCGTCCCATAGCCTACATGTGAAGTGTGACTGGCTCATCCGTGGATGGACGGAGAAAAATGCCTCTGTTTTTCTTTCTTTTTTGTTGGCTCCCCCTCATGGGGGTTTGTGCTCTCTGATTGGCTCAAAGTCAAGTTGTTGGCCACTGACGAGCATTGCGATTCTATGGCTCTCCTAGATTACTAAAATCAACTCCACGATTTACGATGGAGTTGAGCGGCGACTAGTGTGGGCGGACTGGTGCTCCGACGTCACATAAAATTATTTTTTTTATCAAAAACTACGGATTTCAGCACCCAAAGAATAGCACACAGTTACACATGACAATGACGTCGGAGTTCCGGTTGAGTTTAGACAGCTGTGTCTCCTTGCTCTGATGACGCTTCTATATCCCTTCTCTGAGGTACTAAGTATATTCATTATCCTTTAATTGATTTACATTTTCTGAGGGACTAAGTATATTCATTATCCTTTAATTGATTTACATTTTCTGAGGGACTAAGTATATTCATTATCCTTTAATTGATTTACATTTTCTGAGGGACTAAGTATATTCATTATCCTTTAATTGATTTACATTTTCTGAGGGACTAAGTATATTCATGATCCTTTCATTGATTTACATATTCCTTTAGTTGAAATCTCATCACCCAGAAGGAATTTATCCACTTGATCAATCAGTCAACCAATCAAATATGGTCTAGAGTGATTTATTCATTCATTTACATGTATTCAAATACTGCTTGAATAGAATCAAATGTTATTGGTCGTGTACACAGTTTAGCAGATGTTAAAGCAGATGTTAATGCGAAATGCTTATGTTACTAGCTCGTAACGATGCAGTAATATGTAAAAGAATTAAAATGTAAGGAATACAAAAATACAAAAAAATACAAGAAATTAAGAATGGCGGGCTGAATCTGATGAACATCCATTAAATCCATGACAGATGTGTGTTTGTTTTTATCACCACTTTATGTGGCAGGAAGCTTAGTGGTTAAGAGCGTTGTGCCAGTAACCAAAATGTCACTGGTTCTAATCCCCGAGCTGACTAGGTGAGAAAAAAAATCTGTCGATGTTCCCTTGAGCAAGGCACTTAACCCTAATTGCTCATGTAAGACGCTCTGGATAAGAGCGTCTGCTGAAAAATGTAAATGAGGACATAGTGCTTAATAATCACTTTTCTGCTGCTTGATATCAGTACATAAAAGTAACTTCCGTTACCATGTCCATTGGGTATTGAAGCCACCAACTTAAAAATATCCCTTGGCAATCATGAATATTTACAGAAAAATCTTACAATAAGACAGGAAAATATATTTGTTTGTAGTGTTTGGAAAGTGTTTATTTGGAAAGTGTTTGCAGTTAGCTAGTTAGGTAATACTCTATGCATAAAGCTGTGGTGATAATGCAGAGTCACCATTTTGAGGAACTAACAAAAAATATATAAAAAATAAACCAACCCTCTGTGTTCCAGATTTCTCCTTGTCATTGTTTTACTCCTGTGTTTGTATGTGTCTTGTATGTTGTAACGAGGTGCATTGCCCCCCCCCCCCCCATCCACTAATCCACCCTCCCTTCATCTTGTGTTCCAGATCGAGGACATGCAGTGGCCTAACGGAGAGATAGAGATTCCCAGCTCTGTGTGCAGTCTGCCCTGCAGGACAGGAGAGAGGAAGAAGACAGTGAAAGGCATGCCGTGTTGCTGGCACTGTGAACCCTGTGATGGTTACCAGTACCAGTATGATGAAACATCCTGCAAGCTGTGCTCCTACAGCATGAGGCCCAACCCAAACAGGTGACAGACAGCAACATTATATATATATATATATATTTTTTTTAAGTATAGGGTTGCAAAATTCCAGAAACTTTCCCAACATTCCCAGGTTTTCTCCAACCGGGATTTCTGGAAAACCCGTGAATATTGTGAACGTTTCAGGAATTCTGTAACCCTATATAAGTCTGTAACATTCGTGTGTCTTCCTTGATAGCATGATGTTTTACAGTGCAGTACAGTATTGCTTTTCTTCTTGTCGTCTGTATATGTTTTTCAAAATTGTTGAATGAACTTACTTAAAGGAGAAGTTTACTCAAAATCCAGAAAGTCCCATACAATGAAGTGCAGCCAGGGACCGAACACCAGCCTTCTTTTTTTCAACTTTGTGAAACTAACTTTACCTGCGATATGATATATACTCTATCAACTTTCGCACCAGTTCATTCTCCACCCCAAAGAAATGTAATCTGTGGCATCAAGCTCCATATAAGGGCATATCGTGACGTTTCTACGTAGCATGGTCTCCCCCACCAAGAGCGCACATGCGCATTTGTTACACAATATAAAATAATCACAAATGTTTTAGGTGTAAAATAACACATTTCCTGACTTAAAACCGGTAGTACTTTTGACAAAAATAGCTAACGAATTTGTCCACACTTCGTGGATTTCTGCATCATAAATTCACTGGCAACAGAGCAGAGCAAGGCCTGCATCCAGCAACATCACGAATCACGTGACCCGTTTTTTGCAGCTGTTTCAGTAAGGCACTAAAGGGAGAGAGAGGGGGAGAGGGCAAACTCCACTGAACTAGTTTCAATATATGGAATCACTTGGGAGTTTCTGGATTTTGGCTAAACTTCACCTTAAATCAATCAATGAATAAATCATATAATCAACAGGACTGCATGCCAGCTCATCCCCATCGTGAAGCTGGAGTGGCACTCCCCCTGGTCAGTGATCCCCGTCTTCCTCGCCATGCTGGGCATCATCGCCACCATCTTCGTCATGGCAACCTTTGTCCGCTACAACGACACGCCCATCGTGCGTGCGTCGGGCCGTGAGCTGAGCTACGTCCTCCTCACCGGGATCTTCCTCTGTTACATCATCACCTTCCTCATGATCGCCAAGCCTGATGTCGCCATCTGTTCATTCCGACGGATCTTCCTAGGTCTCGGTATGTGTATTAGCTACGCGGCCCTCCTCACCAAGACAAACCGTATCTACCGCATCTTCGAAGAGGGTAAGAAGTCGGTGACCGCACCCAGGCTGATCAGCCCGACCTCCCAGCTGGCTATTACTTCTTCCCTGATCGCCATTCAGCTCCTGGGGGTGTTTATTTGGTTCGGGGTGGACCCCCCAAACACCATCATCGACTACGACGAACAGAAGACCGTCAACCCCGACCAGGCCAGAGGAGTACTGAAATGTGACATCACGGACCTGCAGATCATATGCTCGTTGGGTTATAGCATCCTGCTCATGGTCACGTGTACGGTGTACGCCATCAAGACGCGGGGTGTCCCAGAGAACTTCAACGAGGCTAAGCCCATTGGATTCACGATGTATACCACCTGTATAGTCTGGCTAGCCTTCATACCCATTTTCTTTGGGACAGCACAGTCCGCAGAAAAGGTAAGGTTGATTTTATGTTGTTTCATATTGTTATATTATGACATACCTTCATCATAATCATCATCATTGTTCGGCTGCCGAACAGTCAACTACAAGCTTTCTCCAGTAGCTAGGTTCAAGCCACTTGTCTACATCCCCCATCATCATGTTGTATCACACATCATCCTTTGGTACATTGGCTTCAACACTTTAACACTGTTATTTTTTATGTGCCAACCCAAGTATCTGCATACATGGCAAGTGAGAAACAAACGTTATTTATTATTGTCACAATCAGCTCTATTTCTATGGCATGTACAGTGTGACGTTGCTATAATTGGTATGAATAAATATAAATATAAATAACACTATAAATAATGTTGCCATAATTGGCCTGTTTGCTAGCTGAAGGTACAGTGAGGGAAAAAAGTATTTGATCCCCTGCTGATTTTATACGTTTTCCCACTGACAAAGAAATTATCAGTCTATCATTTTAATGGTAGGTTTATTTGAACAGTGAGAGACAGAATAACAACAAAAAAATCCAGAAAAACGCATGTCAAAAATGTTATAAATTGATTTGCATTTTAATGAGGGAAATAAGTATTTGACCCCCTCTCAATCAGAAAGATTTCTGGCTCCCAGGTGTATTTTATACAGGTAACGAGCTGAGATTAGGAGCACACTCTTAAAGGGAGTGCTCCTAATCTCAGCTCGTTACCTGTATAAAAGACACCTGTCCACAGAAGCAATCAATCAATCAGATTCCAAACTCTCCTCCATGGCCAAGACCAAAGAGCTCTCCAAGGATGTCAGGGACAAGATTGTAGACCTACACAAGGCTGGAATGGGCTACAAGACCATCACCAAGCAGCTTGGTGAGAAGGTGACAACAGTTGGTGTGATTATTTGCAAATGGAAGAAACACAAAATAACTGTCAAACTCCCTCGGTCTGGGGCTCCATGCAAGATCTCACTTCGTGGAGTTGCAATGATCATGAGAACGGTGAGGAATCAGCCCAGAACTACACGGGAGGATCTTGTCAATGATCTCAAGGCAGCTGGGACCATAGTCACCAAGAAAACAATTGGTAACACACTACGCCGTGAATGACTGAAATCCTGCAGTGCCAGCAAGGGCCCCCTGCTCAAGAAAGCACATATACAGGACCGTCTGAAGTTTGCCAATGACATCTGAATGGTTCAGAAGAGAACTGGGTGAAAGTGTTGTGGTCAGATGAGACCAAAATCGAGCTCTTTGGCATCAACTCAACTCACCGTGTTTGGAGGAGGAGGAATGCTGCCTATGACCCCAAGAACACCATCCCCACCGTCAAACATGGAGGTGGAAACATTATGCTTTGGGGGTGTTTTTCTGCTAAGGGGACAGGACAACTTCACCGCATCAAAGGGACGATGGATGGGGCCATGTACCGTCAAATCTTGGGTGAGAACCTCCTTCCCTCAGCCAGGGCATTGAAAATGGGTTGTGGATGGGTATTCCAGCATGACAATGACCCAAAACACACGGCCAAGGCAACAAAGGAGTGGCTCAAGAAGAGGCACATTAAGGTCCTGGAGTGGCCTAGCCAGTGTCCAGACCTTAATCCCATAGAAAATCTGTGGAGGGAGCTGAAGGTTCGAGTTGCCAAACGTCAGCCTCGAAACCTTAATGACTTGGAGAAGATCTCCTGAGATGTGTGAAAACCTGGTGGCCAACTACAAGAAACGTCTGACCTCTGTGATTGCCAACAAGGGTTTTGCCACCAAGTACTAAGTCATGTTTTGCAGAGGGGTCAAATACTTATTTCCCTCATTAAAATGCAAATCAATTTATAACATTTTTGACATGCGTTTTTCTGGATTTTTTTGTTGTTATTCTGTCTCTCACTGTTCAAATAAACCTAACATTAAAATTATAGACTGATCATGTCTTTGTCAGTGGGCAAATGTACAAAATCAGCAGGGGATCAAATACTTTTTTCCCTCACTGTATTCTAGAACATAACTGATCTATTTCTATGATCTAAAATCTCTTTAGACTCTGTAGCTATAAGAGGATAAACCATTCCTCATCCATATTCCGCATCCCAAATAGCACCCTATTCCCTCTATAGTGCACTATAGTGGGCTATAGTCAAACGCAGTGCACACTACAGGGAATAGGGTGCCATTTGGGACATAGCCCATGTCTGAAATGAACAGAAATGTTAGGCTGCATTGCAATGGAAAAAAAATGAATGAATTTCTTAGTTCAGGATCACAGTATAAGTTAATGACTCCACAATGTGTCTTTCTCCATGAAATATTTCATTATCTACGATAACCTCTCATCATGGTAGTTTCAGAATCTACGAGAACCTCTCATGTTTGTTTCAGTATCTAGGAGAACCTCTCATCATGTTCGTTTCAGTATCTAGGAGAACCTCTCATCATGTTTGTTTCAGTATCTAGGAGAACCTCTCATCATGTTCGTTTCAGTATCTAGGAGAACCTCTCATCATGTTTGTTTCAGTATCTAGGAGAACCTCTCATCATGTTCGTTTCAGTATCTAGGAGAACCTCTCATCATGGTAGTTTCAGTATCTAGGAGAACCTTTCATCATGGGTCGTTGGTGTTTCTTGACCACCGGGGAAATTACATCCGGGGAAATTGAAAAATACTACACCTGGGGATCGCCAAGTAGATTGTGCATGTATGTAGGAGACAGATCTTGACAAGCTGACTGTGTGATTGCATTGTACAAACAAATCCCAGTGTAACCAGAGTTTAATTGCTGAGAGAAACCATATTTTTTAATAAATTACAACAGTACTGTTGTATTTAGCATTTCCATAATGATTTGGTGTACAAATGGTTTAAGTGCTCCAGAAATAGGTGTTAGAAATTTACCCTGAAGAACAAAAAGGACGCAAGAAATGATTTTTACCGGCAGAACAAAAAGATTGCACACCCATTTGTACAGTGGGATTCTGTGGATGAAATGTCTGTGGATTGGTGTTGCTATTACCTGTGTGTCCCTGGAGCTGGGGACTAAGTCTGTGTTCCAAATGGCACCCTGTTCCCTATACAGTGCCTTATGAGTCCTGGTCAAAAGGGAGTAGGATTTCATTTGGGACTAAAGATTATATAAAACCCTGGGAAGAGACGAGAGATGTAGTCTCATTAGGACGGCAGTCTCATCTGTACAGGGGAGCTACGCCACGTGTGTGTGTCCGTGTGTGTGTGTCTGTCTGTTTGTGTGTGTGTCCGTGTCTGTCCGTGTCTGTGTGTCTGTCTGTCTGTCTGTCTGTCTGTCTGTCTGTCTGTCTGTCTGTCTGTCTGTCTGTCTGTCTGTCTGTCTGTCTGTCTGTCTGTCTGTCTGTCTGTCTGTCTGTCTGTCTGTCTGTCTGTCTGTGTGTGTGTGTGTGTCTGTGTCTGTGTGTGTGTGTCTGTGCGTGAGTCAGTGCAGTGCCTGCCTGCTTGTGTGTGTGTGCAAGTATCTCTGTGTGTGTGTGTGTGTGTGTGTGTGTGTGTCTGTGTGTGCAAGTATCTGTGTATGTGTGTGTGTGTGTGTGTGTGTGTCTGTCTGTGTGTGTGTGCTGCTCTGTGCTGTGTGAAGGCCTGACGTCAGCAGCACAGCCAGGCAGAGTGGAATTGTGACACCCAGGCCTTTACTGCTTGTCATTACTTACCTGGCTGAGGCTGGGTGGAATACTGATGAGGGCTGGGACGATAAGGCTGCTTCACCCTGGTGTGCAGCTGCAGGGTCTGAAGAAAGGTGTGCAGCTGCAGGGTCTGAAGAAAGGTGTGCAGCTGCAGGGTCTGAAGAAAGGTGTGCAGCTGCAGGGTCTGAAGAAAGGTGTGCAGCTGCAGGTCTTCCTACAGTCTGAATATAGTGTGCACACACAGGTACCCGAAGAAAGTGTGCACCCAAGGTCTGAAAAAGTACCAGCTGCAGGGTCTGAAGAAGGCAACCTGCACTCGACAAAGTGTCAGCTGCAACTAAGAACAGCAGCCAACGCACGATCAAACACATTTCCCTGCGATTTTTAAAGTTGTGCAGCTGCAGGTTTGAAGAAAGTTAACTGCAGGTTTTGAAGAAAGGTTTGAGCTTGTTGAAAAAAGTGTCTTGAAGGGTCTGACGAAAGGTGTGCTTCAGGGTTTAATAAGGGTCCCTGCACAGACAGCTGGGGTGGCGGCCGAGATGTAAAGATTGATTGTAGCACTGCAGGTCACTGAAGAAAGGTAGTCATGTTAAGAAATTTGTCAGCTGCCATCTGAAGCAAATTGCATGTGAGGTGCTACTGGAACATCGTATACGTTTGTAAGAGTCAACAAAACCACATAATATAGCCACACCTCCCACAAACACTTACTACACACCCCACATACACACACACACACACCAGCGCACCCACAACACAACACGCACTCACACACACACCACACACCACACACACACACACACACACACACACACACACCACAACACACACACACACACTCACACCCACACACCACCACCCACACACACACACACACACACACACACACACACACACACACACACACACACACACACACACACACACACACACACACACACACACATTTCCCTGAGCTCATATTTTAAATTCAGACTTAATCTGATGATTGATAATAATTGCATCGATTATAGACCTTATTCTCCAAAATTAGAGCTTTGTAGATTGAAGAGTGTTATTGAAACCGGCAATGACTCAGATGTAGTTCATTTACTTAATTAGGATCCCCATTAGCCACATGCAGCAGCTGGGGCTGTGGCGGTCACGAAATTTCGTAAAGCCGTTGATTGTCAAGCAAATAACTGTCAGTCTCACGGCAATTTACTGTTAATTAACATAAACACATTTAGCATTTCCTGGCTCCCACACATAGCCAACAAGCCACTGATGCAGACCTTTGGAACATCTATATTTTTAAAAAGTCTAATAAATCCATATAATATAGCCTACACCTTCACAATAAATCCATTATTTATTTTAGACAGGTCTAAAGAAGCATGATATGATGAAAATGTAGTCTATTTCAGAAGAACAGAATAGCATACTCTGAGTTGTCCTGATGTTAGGTCCTGATCTGGCTATGCCAAACGGCTGTGGGCTACACTAGTTCATTTCGCAGACAAGATTTGATTAGAATTCGGTGACAATATTTTATATTATTTTATAAAGATATTATAACTACTGTCCACATTTACTTTTCGTCAGCCAACAAGATCAGTAGGCCTGACAAATAGCAAAAGCACTAGCCTATGTCAATCTACTATCCCCCATAGTACAAAAGTTGACCTATTCTATTCTGTGCAATAAATTAATAAATATTCCAAACATAGTCTGGGACAGTTGTGGGATGTGATAGATCGCAAATTAATAAAACCACTAGCATCAAAAACCCTTTTTTACGCAATGAGGCTGACGCAACAGATCAGAACGTTTAGCTTAACATTTTGATAAACTATTAGGCTGTTTCTTCACATTATAAGCGCAGCAATGCGCACATGGTAGTAGACTATAAGCGCAAATGTTCCATTAGCGGGAAAACACCACTATCAAAAGTGACCGCAAATGCTTTTATTATATAGGTGCATTTTTATGGTGAAAAATTATCTTTCCCAAACTTGAAACTCACACGCTGCTTATGTACAGTACCAGTCAAAAGTTTAGTGAAGACATCAAAACTATGAAATAACACATATGGAATCATGTAGTGAACAAAAAATTCCACAAATTAACAATTAAGAAGGCACACCTGTTAATTGAAATGCATTCCAGGTGACTACCTCATGAAGCTGGTTGAGAGAATGACAAGAGTGTGCAAAGCTGTCATCAAGGCAAAGGGTGGCTACTTTGAAGAATCTCAAATATAACATATATTTTGATTTGTTTAATACTTTTTTGGTTACTACATGATTCCATATGTGTTATTTCATAGTTTTGATGTCTTCACTATTATTATAAAATGTAGAAAATTGTAAGAATAAAGAAAAACCCTTGAATGAGTAGGTGTGTCCAATCTTATGACTGGTACTGTATGCCAGTTAGGCTCTACACCCCTTGTAAAGCGGATTAATGTGCTTAGTTTTAAGAAGTTATTTGGCCACTTTAGATGTGATACAAACCTTATCAAAACATATAGGCCTATGGGCTAGGCTACATGAGGTGTGCGACTATAACTTGAAAAAGTAGTTAAAAAAATTGCATTGTTCTTGCCTTATGTCTTATGTGGTCCTCTGTAGCTCAGCTGGTAGAGCACGGCACTTGTAACGCCAAGGTAGTGGGTTCGATCCCCGGGACCACCCATACACAAAAATGTATGCACGCACGACTGTAAGTCGCTTTGGATAAAAGCGTCTGCTAAATGGCATATTATATATATTATATCATTCACAAGTGATAATATCTCATTCACAAGGGATAGGCTAATATTGTCAGACTCTTCTTGATTTAATCTTGTCTTTACATATACTAAATAATAGATGTGTGAGATTTGTTTTGATTTGGAATGGACAATTGTCATGCGCCTGTCTCGAAACACTTAAATAACGAATGGAGGACGCTTTTCTTGTGGTTGATTTTCATGCCAGCCAGGTAGGCTATACTCCTGTTGTAAAGAGAAGCCATGTGCTTTATAATAGGAACGTAGAGAATGTATACTAGTAGGCCTTGTCACGCCCTGGCTCTGGGGACTCTTTATGTTGAGCCAGGGTGTGGTAGGTTTTATTGTTTAGTTTTCTATGTTGTTGTTTCTAGATCTTGTATATCTATGTTGGCCAGGGTGGTTCCCAATCAGAGACAAGCTGTAGCTCGTTGTCTCTGATTGGGGACCATACTTAGGCAGCCTGTTTTGCACTAGTTTATTGTGGGATCTTGTTCTTTATAGGTTTGTGTTTGTGAACCTTTAGACTTCACGTATCGTTTTGTTGTTGTTTTTGTGATTGTATTAAGTACTCATTAAAAGATGTACGCCTGTCACGCTGCGCCTTGGTCCGGTTCTTACGACGAGCGTGACAGGCCTAGCCTATAGAAAGCTAATAGAAGCCATCACTCTGTTTTCTCGCGCATACATACATAGCCTATAGAAATGTTGCGCAACATGAGCTCATGGGCTCTCATGAAGTCTTTGATTAGATTTTTTTTATCACATTTGCATTGATGTCAGAGTGATTAGAGGGACAATAGAGTGCTGAGTACCAGGCAGTTAGCAAGTTTGGTAAGGCTACTAATGACCATCAGCAGCATCAGAGCTTGGAGAAGCCTAATTACCGTGACTAAACGGTCACGTGGAATTTGACTGCCTTCATGACTCGTGACCGCCGGCGTGGCAGTAATACGGTCACCGTAACAGCCTTCGCAGCAGCTACTCTTCCTGGGGTCCACATAAAATGTACAAATACATGACAAAGTACAGAACAGTTATAGACAACAACATGAAATTGTAAATAAAACGTTAAAAAAAAATAATAATAAGAATTATATATTGGAAAGACACCAAGAGACAACAAAAAATACATATATACTGTACATATTCATATTTTTACATACAATACAGCTAAATTAGATATTTAGAAAGACTAGAGGCAGTGTGATACAATATGTTTTTTTAGCTAAACTTTCTTTGTGCCTGAGTAACCTCTGGTGGCAGAGCATTCCACGATGACATGGCTCTATACATAACTGAGCGACACATTAAATCTGTTTTTGGTTTGGGTACAGTGGAGAAACCCATAGTGGCGTGTCTGATGGGGTATGTACAGTATGTCTGTTTGAAGTGTTTGCAAATATATTTTACAAGTGGTTAGGCATTTTCAACAGAAACATATTTCTTAAAAAGACTAGAAGAGAAGTAGTCAATCTCTCCTCAACCCTCAACCGTGAAAGACTATCATGCATGCTGTTGATGTTAGTTCTGTATGTGCAGTTAAGGGCAAGGCGTGCTGCCTTTGTTTTGAGCCAGCTGCAGCTTCTCTGGGTTTTTCTTTGCTGCACCTGACCATATTACCGGACAGTAATCAAGATGGGACAAGACCAGAACCTGAATAACTAGTACAATTGATATTTGTATCAGAAACGCATAACATATTTTTTTTAATAAAATACATAACCCTCCCCATCTTCACAACAACTTTGTCAGTATGACTTAATTGACCATCCCATGTTACTCCTCAACTTGTTCAATGGTCACACCTTTTATGCACAACTCCAGTTGAGGTTTAGGTCTAAGAGAATGCTTTGAACCAAATACAATGCTTTTGGTTTTTTGATGTATTTAAGACCAGTTTATTGTTAAATAACTCTTTACTATCAGTCTCACTGAGCTCACTGGCTGTAGGTTGCCGATGTGTAGAGTGTGCAATCATCAGCATAGACAGCTTCTTCTAAGACAAAGTGTCAAGTCATTTGCAAAAAAAATAGAGAAGAATAACGTCCCAAGGCAACTGCCCTGAGGGACACCGCACTGTACATATCAGATGTTAGAGAAGCTTCCATTGAAGAACACTCTCTGGGTTCTATTGGATAAATAACTTTCCAACCGTGTGATGGCAGGTGATGAAAAGCCATAACAAATGAGTTTCTTCAATAACAAATTAATGTCAAAGCCTGCATTAAAATCAAACACTAAAGCTCCAACGATCATCTTATTATTCATTTATTTTAGCCAATCATCAGTCATCTGTGTCAGTGCAGTACAAGTTCATTGCCCTTCCCTATATGCATGCTGAAACATTTACAAGTAATACATTTCCCTTTTCATGTTTTTAATAAATTAAAATGTCAAAACGCAAACAATAACCCTGCTTTCTATGATTCTCTCTATAA